CTGTCTCTCTGAGCCCTGTCTCCCTGTGCTCTGTCTCTCTGCGCCCTCTCTGTCAGCCCTTGGGGTTGGCTCTTGCTTTTGGAGCTTCTTCACTGGGACCTTCAGCCTCCCCACTCTGAGATCAGTTTTGTTGTTTGCGCCACCCACCCACGGGCCCTCGCTTGGGTTCCCCAAACCCTCAAGGTTCTCCCTAGACACTAGTCCTCTGTAAATGGCATGTCCATGAGCCAGGACCCTGAAGCTCCGCCTGATTCCCAGAAAGACCCCCCTCATCCCCTTTCCCCCATCAGCCAGCCCCCAGTAGTCGTTGGATCCATCACCCCCATCTTCCCCATGCCCGGTGCAACCCCAACTTCCAACCCTCTGACCACTGTCCCGAGTTGACTCCAACCCCCAGTGGCGCTGCACCGTGTTCTGAGGCTGTCACTCTGTACGGGAGCAGAAAGCCTCACCTTTCCCCCTCCTGGTGGCCGGTGGGTTGGAGCCACGGGCGTGTAACCAGCAGGGTCCCCTCGCACACTGCCTTCCTCATAGACAGAAGGCTTGCAGAGGCCCCAGGACGGGAGAGCACACAATGAAGAATCGCAGGTCCCCACAGGCAGGGTGAGGGGGGGCCTGTTGCTGGAGTCGCCCCCCTCCCCCTGGGACCAGAAGGCTCCCAGGTGGGGGCAGCATGGGAGCAGTCAGTGCCAGCCAGCTCAGGCCCAGCGGGAAGGGACACCACAGCATCCTCCAGTACCTGGGGTCTGGCTGTGGTCCCCAGTGCAGCTCTTGGGGTGGAGAGAAGCTGGACAGGTGGGCATCGCAGCAACGTAGGCGCCTCAGAGAGGCGAGTGCTGTCCCGTCCATCTGACGGGGTGTCCAAGCCTTAGCTGCCAAGCCTCACTGCAGCCCCTGCCGTGGCTGCCCACCAGGGCTCATTGCCTTCTCAGAGTGCACATGTGTGTCTGTCTGTCTGTATGTCTGCATGTCCATGTATCTGTGTGTGTGGATCTGTCTGTACAGTGTCTGTGACGGCTTTTCTCAGTATATGTGTGTGTCTATCTCTGTGCCTGATGTTCCTGTGTGTTTGTGTATGTCTGTCTACCTGTCTGCATGTCACATACCTGTGTGTGTGTGTGTGTCTATCGCTGTCTCTGTGTGTGTATCTGTACCCGTCTGTGTATCTGTGTGTGTGTGTGTGTGTCTGTGTCTGTCTATATCTCTGTCTGTGCGTGCTGTGCACTCACGCTGGAGTGTGGGGTGTCAGGACCACATACGACACACATGGGTGCTGGGCCCCCACTCACACCCCCAGAGACCACCCATGACTCTCCTCCCGCCCCCGGCCCCACAGCTTTCCCCCAGATTGGTGCTATCTCCCACCCTGCATGCAGCCCTCTCACCTGGCCGGACAGGGCCCTGAGACCCGGATCCTCTGACCCAGAGCCCTGAGACACTCGGTGACATGGCCCCCAGGATGGAGTGGACCTGGCCCTCGGGGGTTGCAATAGGACCAGGGAGGCACCCTTTCCCTTCTGGGAGAGAACTCGGCCCACCAGGCAGGGTCTGCCCCTGCCCCCAGGAGCCTCCACCCCTGAAACCCACCCCAGACACCCACGCTCCCTCCACCCCCGGCTAGGGCTGTAGGACTGGGCCAGCACACAGATGGCCACCCCAAGAGGGCCTCGGGTTTCCCGCTGTGAGGTGGGGTGGGGGGGCTGTGCTTGCTCCTGCTCCCAGACCCCAGTGGCACAGACACATGGCTGGCAACCACAAGCTCGGGTTCAAACTCCACAGCAGCTGCTTGGGGAGCAGACCGGCAACCACACCCCCTCAACCCTTCAGATCTCAAACAGCCCACCCCAGGGTCACCTGGGACGCAGGTGGGGACAAGCCACGTCCCAACAAGCTGCGTCTCAACTGTCAAGTGGAGGCACTGGCTCTGTCAAGCGTCACCCAGGCCACAAGGGTGCCAGCCATGTTGGCACCCTCTGCGGGGCCACCGAGGGAAACGCCCATTGACTCAGGGTGGCCCCAGACTTGTAGGGTGCGTCTTCCCACAGCTGGCACCCCTGGGTGCCTCGGTGTCTTCTCTTTGCTGGGGACACCAAGCAGGCTCTGAGTTGTCAGCACAGCCCTTGCCAGGCGGCTGAGCCGGCAGCCCCCCGCCCAGAGAGCTTGGGTTTGTGTCTCCCCCGTCAGCGACAAAGGAGCCCAGTGATGTTGTGGACACGGGCAGTGCGGGGAGGGGGCATGAACCTCAGGATCCAGCTCAGGCTTGGACCAAGGGACGCTGTGGCCAGCAGGTCCACACTACCTATCTGAGGTCACCCAGGTAGACCCAGCGGGTCCAGGTGAGCTTCCAGGGCTTTTCCCAAGCTCCAGAAGCAGACCACAGCCCCTGCACCCCCTCCCTTCAGCCTCCAACGCAGGCGCTGGCCCACCCAGCCCCTCCCCTAGCCCACTGCGGGGCTGAGGGACCTGCCTCACAGCGCCCCTGTGCTCGGCAGGCCAGATCTGCACCCCATCGGGTGTTCAGTGGGGTTGGGGATAAAGGGTTCCTGCCCATTGCCCGAAGAAAGGGCCGGTGGCTGCTTCCAAATGTCAGCCTGCTGGAACCCTGCAGAGCACATTCCACTCCGACCCCCACCCCACTCCACCCCGGGGTGGCCACGTGAGTTTGTCAACAAGCAGCGCCCACTGCCATCCATGAATGCCCACTCAGCAGCCCCCCAGGACAAGGTAGGACTGCCCCCTGGGGCTCTCAAGATTGCTCTGCTGGGGTAGAAAGCCTCGTCTTTCTCCTGAGGATCAGCAGGTGGTTTTGAATTGCTAACCTTGGGGTTAGCAGCCCAGCAGGTGTCCACTACTCTGCAGCAGGTATGAATGTCAGCCTTGTGCACCTGGGCGAGCTGAGAAAGGTAGCACGGTCTGCACTCACTCACTGATGCCACCTGCAGAAAACAGGCCTGCCAGCCCTCTCCATGTCAGCCCGGAGGCAGCTCCGGTAGGGTGGGCAGTGGGGGGGCGGTGAGGCACAGGTCACCTGACGGTAGGCAGTGGGTTAGGTTGGGTCTAGGGTTTGAGTTGAGGAGTTGGGTTGGGTTTGGCTGAGCCAGACTGGGCTGGGTTGGGTTAATGTTGGGTTTAGTTTAGGTTTAGATT